TTTAGTGATAGGGATGCGATGTAGTAGCTGAGAATTTACCTAATTTATGCAAAGTTGTGTTTAAACATTAGCACCAAAGAAAGGATGCCAGCATTGACCAAGAATATATACAATTAGTATGTTGATATTGAGTATTTAGCAATTTTATGTTTCTCCCAATGACAGAAGAAAATTAGATACAGAGGGGAAACACATACTTAGAAGTCATCGTCTGAGAGGGATCACACCTAGAATAAATATGTAAAGAAACCCTAGAACTCAACAACAAAATGATGAATCACCCAGTTCTTGAAATGAGTAAAGGGTTTGAATGACGGCTCTCCCAAGAAGATTACAAATGCCCGGTCAATCCGCAAAAGAATGATTAATACCACCAGTCCTCAGGGAACTGCAAATCAAACCCACTGTGATGTCGCCGGGCAGACTGAAAAGAAAAGAAACGACCAGTGTGGGTGGCATATGGAGGGACCAGAACCTTCAAATGTCACTGCTGGGGATACAGAGCAGCTCCGGGGAAAAAAGCTTGGCGGGGTCTCCAAGCGTTAACCACGGAATTCGCGTATGACATAGCAATTCTACTCCTAGGCACATACCAAAGAGACCTGAAATGTGTGGCTGCTCAGAAACTGGACATGGATGCCCACAGCAACACTCACTATTCGTGATACCCGCAGCACGGGGCCAAATGTCCATCAGATCACCAGGAGACGGCTAGAAACTGGTGATCACGTTACAGTCAAACAATGCAATGCTATTTGGCCACTAAAAGGAATGGGTTATTGATGAACGCTATAAAATCATGGCCCTTGAAGAACACAGAGCTGTGTTTTGAAAAAGCCAGTCACAAAATACCACGCATTATATAATGCCATTTGGAATTAATAAATAGTTAAAAATGCCCACGGGGGTGGAAGCAGGTGAATAATTGTGTGGGGCTTGGGGCCCTTTTGTGTCACACTTGTATCCACCTTCACAGTGCTAAAGCCTTTTGGGAAAGTTTACATTTATGGACATTACCACCTTGTCTCATTCCTGGTTAAGACGGAGGCTTCCAACATTTGTGAACCAGATGGGGAGGAGTCGTCAGAAGGCCGGAAGAAAAGGCAGTGTATCGACAGCGGAACCGGAACATGGGTGAATTAACGGCTAGCTGGGATCCCCAGGGGCTGAACTTCACAGAGAGAGTAAAGCGGTGGCCACCGTTTGCTAAGAGATAAACCCACAGGGATGCACCAAAATGACCAATCTAGTACTCTCCTAGCACGAAATCACTTTAAACATGTTTATTATTATTTATTTAAATATGTTTTTGCCTGCACGTATGTATGTGTACCACATGAGCGCAGTGTCCGAGGAGGCCAGTAGAGGTCTCGTGAATCGCTGGCATTGGAGTTACACACAGTTGTGAGCTGCCATGTGAGCACTGGGAATTGATCCTGGGTCCTCTGCAAGAACAGCTAGTGCCCTTAACTACTGAGTCACCTCTCAAGCCCTGAACGTAACCTCTGAAGGGCAGGGTGGAGTCACCCAAATCAGTATTCCCTGGCCAGGACAATTTCACTCAACTAACCTTAGTAATTTACTACAACATTAAGCAATAGAGAGCAATAAGAAGTTTTGGTAAAATCTCTGACTAGATGAGGTGGCACAATGCAGGTGCGTTTTACAAATTCATTTTTAAAAAAAAAAAACCCTTACTGGGACGGAGAGAGAGCTCACAGTTAAGAGTGATTGCACAGTCATGCAGACTGGAATTTGGATGCAAGCGTGCAGCCCATAAGCAGCTCTCCCACAAATGCCTGTAACTCTGGCTCTGCGGGATCTGCCACCCTCTTGTGTCCTGTGTACGGTTAGCATGTGCATTTGCACACACATATGTGCGCACACTCACACATACATACATGTAAATAAAATGATGAATCTAACAAGAACAAGACTTTCCAGTCCTCTAAAAATCCGTCTCTTAGGAAGGGGTATGTATTCTCTTCACCATTCCTAAGATGATTCTTTCTTCTTCGGTTAAAGAAATTACACACTCAGCATTTTCCTCGTGGTTATGTTTCCTGAGACTCTGGGACCTGGGGAGTCCCATTTCCTTCACCCATTTCCACTTGGATTTGGCCTTTACAAAAAGATTCATTTTTATTTATATGTGTGAGTATATATATGCCATATGCATACAGGCTCCCATGGAGGCCAGGAGAGGGCGTAGCTGGAGTAACAGATGGCTATGAACTGCCTAGCATGGGTGCTGGGAACCAAACTCAGGTCTTCTGCAAGAGCAGTAGGCGCTCGCTATTCACGGCTGAGCCATCCCTCCAGTCCCTGGATCAGACCTTTTAACACACAGGCAGCTAATGGACTGAAATACCGTTTTGAGTGACATGCTGTGGGGTCTACTGAGTGGAAAGTGTTTCTCTGCTACCTGCCAAAGTGCTTATGCGAGCTTTGATCACAACGAGCCCTCGGGTTGGACTTTTAATTCGACAAAACTGGATATAAATAAAACATTAAGAGAGTTGGCAAAGAGAAGCGGCAGACATAGTGATCTGTTCCGAGAGGGAACAAATGCCTGCCTGGTCATACGGGGCCTGGGAGGGGTCTGTCAGTTTTCTTCATGAAAGATTTTAGCAGAGGGTTGGCTCAATGCCATCACTGCCATCATGAGCACCGGAGGCTTCTGAACCCCTGCCCAGGGCCAGAATGGCAGGGAGCACTTGACCATGAACCATGTCCTACCAGTGTTATCTCCAGGCCCTGGCAACAGGCAGGAGTCGGCTTGTTGGCCTTCCTAAACTTGTCTGGGATGCAATTCTGGTAGCTGCTTCTACCAGCTGCCTCTCACTGGGCTGATGTCCCCAGGAGCTCCTTGCTGGTTTATATGGGGGCTCTGGCACCCATCTGTCTTTTGATGCAGGCTTTGACTTACTCAGCCCTTGTGCTCAGTGTTAGTAATGTTCTAGTTTCCAGGAGTTTCAAGTGAAGTGCTGAATGTGAACCTCACGTCCGGCCCGAGTCATTCACCGGAAGGTACAGCCTCACTTCAGGACATTGCTTGGAAGTCTGCCCTTTCTAAGGCAGGCTTAATTTATGGCACGTTTCAATACTTCAGAAGTTTAAGCAGTGCCAAGGACAGGCAGTTCTGGGAAACAGCTCCAGGAGAAGATACTAGGGACAGGGTACCAGTGGGTGTGGCTTTTTCCATCCATCGGTCAGGGGTACAGGTGTGCCTTTGACCCTGGAAGCATCACTTCTAGCCAGATGCTGTCTCATTTCTTACTCAGTATGGCACACAGATGTTTGAAATTTCTCTGGCAAATCGTGTGCAGCCAAGTGCAGCTGCAAATTGCCCATGGAACTGAATTCTGTGGCTTGTCCTCAAGAGCAGGTGCCCTCTGGGTTCTGGGATCAACAAGTTATAGCATGGCTGTTTTTAGGACCCTGGAATTAGGGGGAACCATTCTGGTTAGGAAATTCTCCTGGAAATGTACCTCCAGCAGCAGTGAATTTACTGACTAAGAACAGGGAGAATATTCCATGACAAAGAAGTTCCCCTGGCTGGCCGGGAGCCTGGTGAGGAACAGTAGAAATCCTGTAGTTTGAATCTCTCATTGCTGAGGATAGGTGATGGTAGTGGCTGCATTTGATACCTCATTTATTGCTCTAATTGGTTTCCACAGGACACACAGGATGGTTGACTGTTCTCTACGCTGTGCGTAGAGAGCAGAAGAGCTTCAGAGCGGGATGAATGCTCTTAATCACCTCTGTGTCCGCAGATGAAACGGTAGATGGCAGGTTATTCTGTCCTCCCCTCCAACCCACCCTGTGCAACTGTTAATCTTTGGCGTAGGGAGGGGACCTCCACAGGAGCTCAGGACAGTGTCGCCCAGGCAGCAAATGATTTGGGTTTTGCATTTTGGATTTAGATGAAGATACGTGAACGGATGCTCTAATTTTGCTTAAATGACTTTAGAAGGCTTTTTTTTTTTTTCTTTTAGAGAGTTTTTGAGGAAGTATATTAAAGGATGCTGGCTTTGGATTACTGTACACATCCCTTGGTGAGAGAGTGGCTATAAATGAATTGGAAAAGCAATACGCTTCAGCCTGTACATGCCAGAGAAATAAACTACTGGCGCTCCTTTCGACTCCCAACCTGCTCTTCCTTTTATATTACTAGAGCTTCTTCCATTGCCCACCTGGATGTCAGATGAGTACCCTGGGCTAGGGATGTAGCTTAGTTGGTAGAGTGCTCATCTAGTATCCATAAGACCCGGGTTCAATCCCCAGCTCAGCATTAACCAAGTGTGGTGTATGCATCCTTGGCTACAGAGTAGGTTCAAGGCCAGCATGGACTACACAGGACCATGTCTCAAAAAAGAAAAAACATATCTCACAAAGGCATCTTGCACCTATTTCTAAGGCTCATAAGCACTCTGTGGGGTAGAGATGATTATGAATGCCAACTTCTGATGGTTCAGCTTACGAATTTTCATCTTTATGTTGGTTTCAAAGTGATATATATTTAGCAAATTCTGCATTATGAATTTTACTTTTTTCCTAGGCTGTGGATAGAGAAAAAGCCCATGTTTTTCTTTTGAGTGTGGTAGTCAACAAAATACATTGCCAAGATTTTATTACAAAATAGGCCTTGTGCTAGATGATTTTGTCCACCTGCAGGTCAAGGCCAATGTTCCGGGAAAAGATAAGACTGGGTAGTTTGATCAGGGGTATTCGGTTGGTTAAGTGTAGCACCCACATTTCAACTGACAAGAAGTTCAATTATAACAGACTCACTGGACATGTGACCCCAGTTCGAGTCCGGAGACCCTCCCACTTTATAGATGAAGACACATTAGGTAACTTGCTCCGATTCATTCGCTTGGTCTGTGGTAGAATTCTAGGAGCAAAGATGTCAATGCACATCTGTGACAATGTACAATCCACCTTCCACCTCTGCCAAAACCTATAAGAACAAACCCTCCCTCCCCCTCCCCCTTTACCTGCAAAAGTCTCCTTCAGATTCCGGCAGCATCAAGGAGGCTATGGGGTTCTTCACCAGGTCAGCCACCACAGGGTCCTTGGCCGTCATGTAGAAGAAAGGGGTGCCCGTGCTGTTGTGGAAGGGACCATCGCTGATGGCCAGGCAGCTCCCAAAGGGCAGTCCTTGGATCTAACAAATGCAACAATAACAACAACAAGAAAAGCTTTTTCAGTAGCAGAGCTATGGGTAACACAAGCTGGGGACAAACTTTGTGTTGGGTGGCAGGAAATACAGCCCAGGGGGCCTTGTCTGGACCAGTGGACTCCACAGGTACATTAAGGCTAGGCGGTTTCCACCCGTTCAGTCAGTGATGGCTTTAGAATTTCTGTGCGGGGAGAGGCGGGTAAGAGCTTTCTGTCCGGGAGCTGTTGGATTCTGGGATCGGCCTCCACACAACAAATGCACCCAGTTTATTGAAGGACAATGAGGCCTGTGGGGAAGAAGACAGCCCTAGGCCTTTCCCACAAGCTCCTCTAAACACCTGCCGCCTCCATTATTTTTAAACTCCGGGGGAAGAATTTCATTCATTATAAGGGACTATGTAGTGAGATAGTCCTTCTGTAGCACTGACCACGCCCATTGGGGGGTGGAGCCATGGGCGGAAGTGACCTGAGGAAGGAGGTCGGAGGGGGCCAAGGAAAGGCGCTCTCTTTCTGGCGTGACTCGGACGGGAGAGGATCGGGTTGAATTTCCTGGTGTTCATCTGTCTAGGTTGTAAGTTATTTCTCCCTGAATAAACATCTATTCGGCCTATTTGTTTATCCTGATCCTTATTTACCGCGATAGGACTACTCCATCTTTGGACGCCAAGGATTTCCTACGCTATTTCAGTCAGGGCAACATTTCTTTGTTTATTGGTTGTATGCTGTATTATGATAAACAACCCGTTGGGATGTAACTGAACAAGCTGTGGGAAACTGATATGTTAGCCTAACGGGAAGTCAGAGAAGCATGGTATACTGATCTTTACCTGCACGCATCTAGTGGATGAGTGTGTGTGGGTGTCTCGTGTCATGTCTATGTGACTATAAACAGAAAGAGAAGCATTTAAGTCTTGGCATTCCCCAAACCCTGCTGCACCTTGCAAAGAAATACCCCCTCCCCATACCCAATCCCTCCCCCTCCCCCCTCCCCCCACCCCATTGTCTTCCTAGCTCCTGACATAGTGTTCAAGATTGTGAAAGGATTTAGAGGCATGACAGATTAATGGATTCTCCAAATGGCAATATTACATCATCCACAGATTCTACATTCAGCCTGTCACGGGCCGCTCAACCTTTCATGCAAATGTTTTCTGAACTTACTGAGTTTGGATTAAAAGTCGTTAATGGAAGCTACGAAAGAGCGGCTGAAGGTCAAAATATCTTCAGTACAAAGGACACCACATGCTTTTTCTACTTTGGTTGTTTACGTTTTTGTGAGGCAGGATCTCGTTATGTAGCCAGAGCTGGTTTTGAACTCACAATTCTCTTGCCTTTGCCTTGTTGGTGCTGGGACTGGGGTGGGGGGGAGGTGAGCAACCAAGCCTGACAGGCACTGGACTTCTTTGTTTTGTGTGTGTGTGTGTGTGTGTGTGTGCATGTGTGTGAATATTCATGCATCCTAGTGTGCCTGTGTGTGTGGTGCTCATGCATGTGTGTACATGTGGAGGTCAGGGGACAAATTCGTGGTCTCATTCCTCAGGGTCCATTACTGTTAGGTGTTTGTTTAGAAAAATGTCTCTCAGTGGCCTGGAACTCCCCAAGTAGGATAGGCTAGCTTACCAGCAAGCCCTTAACTATCCACCTGTGATTACACAGTCACATGCCATGTTTGGTGCAAAACATAAACAAAAGCAAAAAACAAAACAAAGCAAAGCAAAACAAACAAAAACCCCAAACAAACAAAACACAAGGTTTCTGGAGGCTGGGCAACTCTGATCCTTAAGCATTCTACTCATGATTGGTTTCATGTTTAAACTCTGTATTCAATCAAGGCATCCATTAACATTGTAACAGTGTAAAAACCTGTTCCGACACTGAGAATACAGAACTCGCTGGCATTCTGCCATAGGAAGAGGACAAGATCGTTGCCATTATTAGGATAAAGTTGTCATTAGATAATTTTTATGAAAATAAAAAGAACTTCCATGCTCTGCCTACAGAATTATTTAATTTTATAGATGGGCAAACAGGGTGCTTTGGCAAGAAGAACTCGACTCCCACACAGTGAGATATAACGGAAGGGTGTCAGTCCTTCCGTGCACAGATTAAACGGGAGCTCGGAACACATCTCTATCAGGCAGGACTAGAAGCTTTCTGGAGGCTGTTCTTACGGAATATGCAGCTCTCTATGCTATTCTGGGTGGAAGCAGGTTAACGTGTGAAAGAGAGAAACTGCGACCGGAACAGCTCCCTCCAGCAGTTACGCTTTGCCCAAGTCGTCTTTCTCAAAAGCAATCGAGTTCCATCATTATTATTTTTTTAAAGTGTAAATTTCTACCAGTGTGAGGATGGCTCCTTTCTCCCACGCCCACTCGGCCTGGGAGGTGGTGCGAGAATCTGCCTGCGGGACAGTGCTCAGAGCCTGCAGGGGCTGAATGCACCTCATCTGTGAGTCCAAAGGCGATCTTGTCTGCTTTCCAGGTCTCCGTGTGACGCTCAGTATTTGACCATCTCTTTGGCCATCTTGAGACAGTCACTAGCCACCAGATTGTTCCCCAGAGTCTCCTTTCTCCCATCTCATGTGCACTCAGTTGAACCGACTCGTGCACAGCGGGTTCCGTTATTCACAAGGCATGCACAACCCATGCACCTGTGCAACCCGCCCTGTGGTCGGGTCTCGCCCCAGAACTGCGGACCGCGACGAGACCCGCACCACCCCCGCATCCCGACCTCTGGTTTACCTTTTCGAGGGTGGCTGTGGTGGCCAGACAGCCCCAGGAGCTGGCGTGGACCAGGGAGCGGGCGGTGCTGGCACGCACCCTGGGGCCGGGGGACGCTGCGGATGAGTCGCTCTCCCGCCGATAGGAGAACATTCCACGCGGGGCCGGTGCGGGCCTGGCGCGGGCGGAGCCCCGAGGCCGCAGGTGCGTGTCCTCCTTGTGAGCCGAGGCCGGGAAGCTCTGCTGCCAGATGCTGCCCGAATCCTCCAGCAGCGCGGGCAGTGCCTCCTCGGTGGACGCGCTGTCCAGCTCCTCGTCTACCTCGTTGGTGACAGCCCAGGACACGGAGCTCACGATCACGTAGCCGGCTGCCGGGGACAGCAGGGCGCTGCAGCACAGCAGCCAGGACAGGCGGGTCCCTCGCCCCGCAGGGCGCTCCCCGCCGGACAGCGACATCTTCTTGCAGGCGACGCGCCCTGTGGCGGGGACCGATAGCCCAGCAGCGGCCGGGCAGGGGCGCCCCCCTGCGGCCGAGTGCGCGCCAGAGCCCCTTCTCGCCGTAGGATTCTCGGATCTGGCGTCGCGACCAGCACCCCCCCCCCACCCCAGCTGCCCTTATTGCTCTACACCCCGGTGAGAAGGACGCCTGCCTCAGCGGTCCCGGGATGCAGAGTCCAGGCGTGCCTGCGCGGGGTGGCTTGGTTCTGCAGCCAAACGGTGGGCGTTCACAACTCAGGCTCAATGCACTCCTCCGCTCAGCTCGCTCGACAGCTGGGAGACACTTCCAAGCTGCTTAACTTCTCTGTGCCACCCCAGAATCGTGCCAGCAAGGGGGACATCACCGGGCTCTGTCACCACACTTTGAACCCCACCTCCCCGGAACCACGAGGCACAATACACCCACATCTTCCTTAGCTCACCCTGTCCGTGGTGTCATGTCATGAGCAACACAGACAAACAGCGCATTTAAAAAATCTTATCCAGTAAGAAGTTTAATAGATATCAAAATAACGTAAAATTTATTATATTTTCTTGCCTCTTTTTTTTTTTTAAATGACATCCAGACTTAGTCCCACTAGGGGACATGTTGTATATCTTGTACTCCTAAAGTGCACGAGTTCTTTTCTAAGGCCCCATAAGAAATTAACTTGAAATAGCATTTGAGTTTTTACTACATCATGTCGTCTGTGTACCCAGCGGCCATACCTCCTCTGCCCATTTCATCTCTGCCCGAATGCCTGGATGCTGGAGCTTCCTTCCCAGTGTGGATGCAGATGGCCTCTCTCCTCTGCATGGGCTCTTGTTTCTCTCCCTGGCTTCCCCTGGCTGACCTTTCTCTCTTTCCTCTTTCCGTGAGCCTTCCTGTTTATTTTTACTGTTTCTGCCATTACCTGCTATGACCCCTCTCCCCAACCTCCCATTCCCACAGTCCCGAGAGACAGGATGCTAAATCACTGAAACATCAGCGCTGCAGCCAGCCATCATGGCAACATTGGGGTACTTGCAAGGTGGAGGCAGGAGGATCAGAAGTTCAAGGTCATCCTTAACTGGACAACACATTTGAGACCAGCCTAGACTACTTGAGATGTCACCTCTGTATCAAACACATGAAAACCAGCAACCCCTCCTCCCCAGATAATCCAGATCTTGCTGGGTCAGGTCCTGATGGTGTGAGAGTGGGCATATCCCCTGGTCTGTGTCTTTATCTGCAAAATGGGGAGTGTTACATCTCTCTCACTGGGTTTCAGATGTCAAGCAGACTATCCCTAAGTGTCCAGGTCCTGCTTATGGAGAGTGCTGACCCGTGACCTCTTTGCTCAGAGGGAAAAGGATGTCTGTGCTGTCTCAGAAGAGGAAAAAGGACAGAACTACTGTGTCGGTTCGGTAAGAGGATCTGTGTACAGTGGTCTCAGCCCTAGTCGGTTTTCACTGTAGGGTCTGCCCACCTTGTCTTTCCTCCTGCCTGAGCTGGCCAAGGTAAGGACTGCATGAGGAACGGCGGAGTTCCTGTCGCGGTGCATCCGGAAGCAGAGGAAGGGGAATTCCAGTGTGCTCCTGTGTTAGCCTTTTCCTGTTTATTCCTTCACAGACACACCCAGAGCCGTGCCTCATCATCGCGCCTCACCGTCAGTCATCTGGACCATCCCAAGTCCAGTCAAGTTGACGGTTAAAATCACACTAACAGACAGGTCATTTTTTTGTTTTGTTTTGTTTGTGGACCAGTTGGTATTGCATAACCAGTCAGGGGGCTCATCCCCTTATTGACTGCAGTTCTCGGTCTATGGGTGGAGTCTTCACGAGATTTCCCCTTCCATGTTAGCGTGTGCACGTCAGGCTGTTTTGGCAGCCGTACTGTTGAGGTATCATGGGTGAAGCTTCCCTGTCATTTTTGGAGACACAGTCTCACAGAAGACTCCTTGCTCCTCTGGCTCTTATGAGTTAACTCTTTATATTTTCTCCAGCACTGATTATTTTTGGGTTCTGCTTGTGTCTGCTTTTAAGTAATGGCCATGTTAGCAGGTGCGAGCAGACTGATCACTATATTTTCAATCTGTTCTTCCCCGACGGTTAGTGATGTTAACATAGATGTATCATAGACGTCTCTCACAGACACGGCCACAGGCCAGTCTGTCTGGGCCAGCTCTTCATTGGAGATTCCTTCCTCCCAGGCGACTTTAACTCGTGTCAAGTTGACAGTAAGAACGAGCCTGTGCACGCCTTGTCCGATACGTCATTTACAGCTATTTTCTCATTCTGTAGTTTGTTTTTCATTCTGCTCCTATGCCATTCAGACTGCTCTGTGGCTCTTTAATTCGATGCAGCCCCGATTGCCTGGCTTTGTTCTTACTGCCTGTATGTCTGGTGTCTTTTCCAATACATCCTTGTGCGGAGAAGTTTCCCTGCTGTGTTCTCTCCAAGTTTTACCTGCATTTCATATCCAAGCCTTTAAGTCCATTTTGAGTCAGTTTCGTATGTGGTGTAAGAAGATCCAGGTATGCAGACATACCGCTTTTGAAAGAGCATCTGTGGAGGAGATTATCCTCTCCCTATATGTGTAGTTTCAGTGAATTTGCTGAAGTCAAGTTGACATATGTGAGCACCTCTGTCAGTCAAAACCAAAATAACTTTTCTGTTTGTGTTTATTTCTACTCCAACACTTTAATTTCCTTCTTTCTACGAAATGTAGGCTTAATTTATTCTCTTTGGTAATTTGCTATAGTATGAACTTGGGTTACTTGTTGGCTTGCTCGTTCATTGAGACGACGTTTCGTCCAGGCTGGCCTTGAACTCACCGCATAGCCCAGGTTAGTCTCAAACCCACAGCATGTCTCCTGCCTTAAGTGCTAGGATTGCGGGCACGTACCACAATCTAAATGCAGGTATCCGATGCTGTGAATTTCCTTTGTTACTACTTTTTCTGTGTCCAGTAAGTTCTGGTGTGTGTCCTGCGTTAGTTTTTCGCCAGCTAGGGACAAGCTAGAAGAGGAAACTCAGATGAGAAAATGCCTCCATTGGATCGATCTGTAAGTAAACTCTAATGCAATGTCTTGATTAATGATTGATGTGGAAAGGCCCAGCCCATGGCGGGCGGGGTCCCCCCACTCCCAGACAGCAGTCCTGGATGGTATAAGAAGGCAGGCTGAAGAAGACACGGCACAAGCCAGGACGTAGCGCCCTCCACGGCCCTGCTTTAGTTCCCACCTTCAGGTTCTTGCCCTGACTTCCCTTCATGACGGACTCTTACCCTCCCTCCCTAGTTGCGTTTGGTCAGTGTTTATCACAGCAACAAGAATCTGACCAAGACAGTGTGTTATGCTTACTTTTTAAAGTGTTTTCTAAATTGTCTTTTGGTTTCTTCTTTGACCCATCGGTTGTTCAACGGTATATGATTTCAACATATTTTCAGATTTTTCTAGGGTTTTTTTTTTTTCCTGCTTTTGATTCATAGTGGATCCATGTCATTGTGATCAAAAGACACTTGGTATAATTTCAGTCTTCTGAATTTTGTATTACTTTTCTTACTTTATTTAAAATATTTTCATATACGTATACTGTACTTACATCACCCCCCCCCTTCCCATCCAACTCTTCTTGTATCTTCCCATCTTCCCCTACTCTCTCCCACATTCACGGCCTCCTTCTCTTAATTGCTATTGTTTCACACACACACACACACACACACACACACACACACACACACACACAATTAATACTTAAATACAACCTGCTGAGTCCACTCAGCATTGCTCATATATATGTATTAGCACTGACTACTTGGCACTGGATAAGCAATTAGAGGCTCATCCCTGGGGAAGACTGGTTCCCTCTCAGTAGTTACTAAACTGCCAGTAGCTTTTCATCTAGGTTGACCGTGTGAATGTTCCTGTCTTGTATTAATGGAAATAAGTCACATTGTGGAGAAGATTCTATGTTAGCTTAGGAAAAGTACATGTTCTGTTACTGGTGGATAGAGTGTTCTGGGATTTTCTATGTAGACCAGGCTGGCTTAGGACTCACAAAGGTCTAAGTGCCTCTGCCTCCTGAGTGCTAGGATTAAAAGCATGATTCAACACACCTGGTTTATTTATTCATCTTTGAGACAATGCCTCTCGTAGCCCAACCTGGCCTCATGCTTACCATGTAGCTGAGGATGATCTTGACCTTCTTCATCCCCCTGACTTTCTCAGGGTTAGGATTATAGGCATGGGCCAACACGTGGAGTTTTATGAGTTTCTGGGGATCAAACTCAGTGCTTCATAGACGCTCTGAAAGCCATGTTCAGAGTCTAGAGTTGTACTTTAATTTAAAAACGTTTATTATCATTTTCTGTCATTGTGCATGGGTGTGTGTAGGGGGTGATGTATGTGAGTGTGGGTGTGCACTCATCCAGCAAACAGGTGGAGGTCATAGAACAGAATTCAGAAGTTGGTTTGTTTTATTCCACCAAGGGATCTGGGGATCAAAATCATGTCCTTGGGCTTGTGCAACAAGTGGTCTTAGTTTCTAAACCATCTTGCTGCTCCCAAAGTTGCACTTTAAATTAAAATCTACTACCATTATTGTGTTGCTGTTTTCATCTCTCTTCACTGTTTTTTGCTTTGCTTTTTGAGCTGTTGGCTAAGCATGTGCCATCACTAAAACATTGCTAGATGCTTCCTCCAACTTTATACGTTTATACAGATAGGTGGGACTAAGAGACAAACAAGATCGGGGATAGGTAGTAGGAGACTCAAACTGTAAGACTGAGAGAGCTGAGCATCAGAACCTGTCTCCGGTAAGATAAGACCACGTGGAAATACTTAGATTGATAGAAATGGGTTAATATTTAAGACAGAGCTATCCAATGAGAAACACTAGTAATAGGCCAACAGCTTTATATCTCATACAGGGCCAGGGCCAGGGGGCCAGGGGGCCAGGGGCCAGGGCAGATCCAAGGATGAATACTTCTAGTGTGACCCAGTTCCGTTTCTTAACATTTCTGTGCATATAGGAAAATTGAATCCTTTTTTTGTAGGTAAATCTAATTCACTTCATATGTGGAGCTAAATGAAATTTATTTCGTGTCACATGTAATAAGAGACCAGTAAAATTTCTCAAGTCACTTCATTTACACCAGAGATCATATCAATCGCGAATTCTAAAATTCATTTGAAACACCATAATCAGTTGCAGAAGATATATCTGTATGGCAACGGTCCACATACAATTTCAAACACTTTAGGATTCGCTTCACAGAGGGGACATGGGCGTCTGTTGGAGACATTTCTGAACTACAGTTCTACCTCATGTTTTGAAAACTGGGGCGACGAACCAGGCATTTAGCCACCCCAGGGAGATACCAGGAGAGCTCAGTGAGCTTCTTCTTGCCTGATGGAGGAGTTTTCTACAAGTTCTGTCTTGACTGGGTCACAACAAAGCAGAAGAGAAACACCAGTCTGTAGCCCCCACACTGCACCCTCCCCTGGAAGCAGCTGCTTCTGATGCCTAAGGAGCTGTCTTACACTGGTCTCCTGTCCTGTCCCCAGCGACAACCGTCCAACAAGCTCCAGAGGAAAAGCAAGAGGCAAAAAGAATTATTCTCCAAATTAGTTTATAGTTTGGTCAAAACCAATTCTTCAAAATACGTACAAACATAAAGTGCTTCATCTATTATATACACAAAATCTCTCAGGTCAATATAAAAGCTTTAGGATTGAATACATATTTTAAGAACCCAAGCCTGCTTCCTCGAGCCCTATTCCAACAAACCACCTTGCGCATTTGCGTTGATCTTTCTGCAGTAAGAATTTTCCGAGCTTTGGGGCACGTCCGATATGTGAATCACGAATCTTTGTCCATTGCTTAGGGTTATGAGGGCCTCTTGTCCCACGGGAAGACTGAGTTTAACGGTGCTTTCGGTGGCCTTGTCTTCTAGCAATACCTGGATGAGCTGCCAGGGGGGAGGGGGTGTTAGAAAGGAAAAGACAAAAGAATAATATTATACCACTCCCAGATGCAGAAGCCACCCACTCGGGGACCTAAGAAAGTGTGTGCATTCACTCTGTTCTAGCTGGGGGATCCTAATTTCTCAGTGGAATCCTTGAGGTCTGGTGGGGATTTCACGGGAGGGCACCCAATGGGGGGAAAGGCCGGAAAGATGATCCACGTCAGACGGATTGCTTTAGGAAAGGAGTGAGGGTCTGTAGTGTCCGCGAAGAGCCCCTCTCCCTCCACCGTTCCTCAAATGACGATTAGATTAGAGCTGTGGAAACAGTTGCCCTCCATTGGTTGAGTTGGCGCTAGATTGAGAAGCGATGGATTGCGGAGGTTCACAAGCCTGGATTTCGCTCGTGTGCCCTCCCTGGCTGACCTGGCAGCATGGGGGGGGGGATGACCCGGGGAGAGTTGGCTGTGCGTCCTTCAGCTCTGGGGGACTTGGAGGATTTGCAAAGCTCTGAGTAGGACTTTAGAGTAGAACTGAATGGGTCATCTTGGTCCGATCTCATCAACAAATCCCTCATGAGTGAATATAATTTTACAAAGATGTGCACAAGGTAAATGTTAGATGCCAAGACTCACAGAAAGCAAGCATCTCTCTCCAGCCGAAACAGTATAACACCCTCCCTGCACCACAAAAATCTGTCTTTGGGCTAGTGAGATGGCTCAGCTGGTAAAGGCAGTTCTTACCAAGTCTGCTGAGTTTGATCCCTTGATCCCAGAGATCTCCATGGTGGAGGGAGAGAACCTTTGACTTGCACATGAACACCCCCCCACTCCGGTGCTCGGTTACAAACACAGGCACAGGCCACACACACACACACACACACACACACACACACACTGGCTTTAAATCTGAGAAGATGAAAGCAAAAAACAAAACAAAGCATAGTTTGTCTTTAGAAAGGGTTTTCCTTATTTGGCATCATCAACACTTTCGATTTCTCTCTTAAACGCGCCTTGGCATCACAGCATCTCTGGAGCGTCGCCACAGCGCACAAGACTGACAGATGGACCTGTTGGTCTGGAACGCTGACACAGTTGCTACCCTAGGTGCAGGGCACTGCTAAACTTGTTCTGAGAACGAGGCTGTCACAGACGCACAGGGCACGGGGCGTTAACTCTCAGCAGATGAGCAGATGAGTACAGATGGGACTGTGGGGGGGGGAGGGAGGGGCGCGGTGTGCTTTTCTCATCGTTGCTGATGAGCGGACATGCCGAATAATGAATGTGATGAAAATTAGAGGTGTGTAACTTTCCAGTGTTAGCTTGTTTAAGTCATTGCGGCTAATTCAGCAGGCGTGAAGAGAAACAGGGGCTTTAATTAATCTCTAATGCATATTACCTTGGATTATCTGTCATTTATCTGCTTGTGCTGCTTTATTACAGGGTCCAATTAAGTTTTTACTATCTTCTCTGTTGTTTCCACCAACTGAGCACAAGTCGAAGCACACTGTGATGAGCTTCCGGGGAGCTGTGAGGTTGGGTGGAGTGTTAAGGATGGGTGCTTGGAGCAGGACGCTTGACGGGAGAGATGACAATGAGGACTGGTGGTTGTCTGGACCGTGTTCTGAGGGGATTTTCTAAGCATTCCCCAGTGATTGGCTTATGGAGACCTCGGAGCCCTAAGGAATTAAGCTGCTTGCTCTGGCTTCTCAGGTAGCAGGTGTAGAGGTCAAATTCCGAGGTTCAGGAGCTTACTTTACCAAATCACTGGACTTGGAGTTAAGCCCATCAGTGGAAGGTTCACTGAAGAGAGCAGCTGAGAAAGTCAGCCTTGGAAAGAATGCCAACCCTGTGCTCTGCTCCTTAGTTCTCAGGGAGGTGACCCTGGGACAACCTCTCCACCATCCACACACCTTGGTTATGTTGCATGTAACACACAGCCGGGGCCATCATCTCCCCCGCGTAGCTGAGTGCTGTCCCCTGCCCACTCCCCCTACTATTCAACCGTGAAAGTTCACTGTTCACCTTGCTGGCTAGGAGGGAGCAGCCAGACTTTGACACGATTCTTCTCCGCCTGGCCAAACTTAACTCTGAACCTTCTAGAACCATCCATACACTTAAAGGAATCTCTAGTCGAGATCCTAGCAAGCTCTATCTTCAGGGACAATCCCATGATGCTAATTTACCCAGAACCCTCCTGATTTCTGATGGCCCCTCTTAGTGATTTCCATTCACCGGCTGATCCTTGGTCCTTATCTACTGTTTTCACGTTTTCAGAGCTAAGCAAGACCCTACTCAGTGGTCCTTGTACTCACCACGGTGGCCTTGAATAAAGTGTTCCTTATTAAGTCTCAATCAACATCATTGAATGATACATCTTTTCTATAACCAGTTCTCATGCTGCAGGCCATATGCTTACCAGAAGCTGAACACTACAGCCCAGTACGAACGCTGGTGATCCTGCTGGGCTCTACAGAATGCTCTAGAATAGGAGCAGATGGGCCTGCATAGATTTTTTTTTCCCCAAGAAGGTCATTGTTCAAGGAGATTCCTTCTCCTGTTAACAGCTTTCTTCATAGAGGTCTGGGGTTCCTTTCTGCCTATACTCCTGGGACACTGGTTCTAGACCTTCCTCATCAGAACAGGCTCAGCTCCTGCTGTAGTCAGGTGTCTGACTTGGGTCAATATTCATCATTCCCTGACACCACATTCACTCACACAGAAGTGTGAGAAGTCAGCTCTTCTAGGAACACATCCTGTAACAGGCTCACCACGCCTTTGACCACTGTTATGAATTGTAATGAAAATATCTGATATTTCAGATGGTCTTAGGTGGCTCCCGTGAAAGAATCAGTGACCACATTCTTGTAATTCAGTGACGGGGAGGTGGAGACAGAAGGACCCCAGCCAGCCTAGCTTAATCAGTAAGCTTCAGCTCTTGATGAGACTCTGTCTCAAAATAAGGGTAGACAGCTCTGCGAGATGACACCTGAAGTTAACCTCTGGCCTACACACACACACACACACACACACACACACACACACACACACACACACACCCCTGCACATTATGTACCCTGCCACAAGAAGATGCAAGTATGTATACACTCTATACCAAGATTATCATCACCATCATTAAAGGTAGATTTCATGTACTGTAATGAGAAATCTAAAGTGCTGGCCTCCCACAGCTAGACTGGAAATTAGAATAAACTCCGCACCAGCCTGACTATAAATTATAAAGGTCCACAGACTGTTTTGTTTAGCAGGGGTGCTCCACACCGGATACAGAGCTTAATGTGACTCGTGAGTCCTTCCTAGCCCAGAGCAGCCAAAGCTAAACGGTAAAGTTAGGTATTATTCACCCGCCTTATATATACTCTGGGTTCTAGGCCACACAGGTTAAAGCAAACAAACAAAAACCACTGTGGTTAAACAATTCCTCTTTAGTTGGTCTGAATGATGGAATCTATTTTCCTGCCCAAGCCCTACACCACCTGGGAGGGAATCCTCTCTGGTGTCAGAAGCGGGAGTAAACTATCACAACTATTATTCTCTTATCCTAGTTAGATATATTAGGTACTAGACTTACGTTTTCCAGCTTAGGACAACTCTATTGTAAACTCCATTATGCCCTCACCCTAGGACTAGATATGTAGGTCATTTTGTTCTCGATTTTCCTTTTCTTAGAGCACACTTGTTATTCACTGTTTTGTATATAGTTTTGTATTAAGCCTAAATCTTTTCTTTATACTAAAAGGGAAATTGTAGTGAGGTAGTCCTTCTGTAGCACTGACCACGCCCATTGGGGGTGGAGCGATGGGCGGAGGTGACCTGAGGAAGGAGGTCGGAGGGGGCCAGGAAAGGCGCTCTCTTTTCTGGCGTGACTCGGACAGGAGAGGATCGGGTTGAATTTCCTGGTGTTCATCTGTCTAGGTTGTAAGTTATTTCTCCCTGAATAAACATCTATTCGGCCTATTTGTTTATCCTGATCCTTATTTACCGCAATACTCCTCTGCTCCCTGTGACATCTTTCCTGATTTTATTTCAACAGAGTATACATTTTAAATGTCTAGACATGACTCCCACCCCACATCTTTACCAGGAGGCTCAGAACACTCCCATCCCTCATAACCCTACCAACGCCTCAGTTTCCCATCTCCGTGTTTAATTCCTTTATCAATGAGATGGAGAACTGATGTGGGGGGGGAGGGAGGGAGGGCTCTGGGAGGGAGACAATGGCACTCACAGCCAAGCCACACTGTGTAAGCACTGCGAAGGCAGACTCACCGTCTACAAATTTCGCCTTTCTCCTCACACCAGGCAGGTCTCCGTACGGCATACTACACACCTGCGCTGACCAGCAATGGACAGACAAGCTACCGTAACTGCCCTTGAGAAGAAAAGCGACTGCAAACAGAGAGTTCCGGAACCTTTCATGGTGGCACAGTCTTTGTGATCTTTATGAGTTTCCTACCTCGTACGCATTATTAATATTATTAACTCTGTCTGTCTCTGTGTCTGTGTGTGTCTGTGTCTCTGTGTGTGTGTACCTTATTGCCTGTGGCGGTGTCCACCAGGAAGCCCAGCACCTGGAGAACCATGCCGCTCACTCCCACGGGACTGCAGCTCTGGCTCATGTGTTTCAGAGTCACCTGAGGTGACTCCACACTCCGGCTCCCACATTCCGATGCTGGCAGCGTATCCAGAGGGTGGAAAAGGGCCTGGTCTGGCTGGGCGAGAAACTGGTCGTCTGACAGCAAGTTCTGGAGGCTCCCCAGGTCCTCCTCTTCCTCTTCCTCCTCTACGCGTGACTCCAGGACGTGGATCACGTACTCCAGAAGCAGTAAGTGGAACAGATGCCAGGCGCCTACATTTCAATAACAGCAGAGGTGAGCGCATGAGATAGGAGGCAGACAGACAGGAGTGAGGCAGGCTCTCCCAGGCAGGCGACTTTTAAATCCTCAGTACCAGAGGATCAAACCCAATGGCTGGGGTGGGTGGCGATAAGGGACCCTTGACTCTTGTAGCCGTCCACGCTAACGGATTCTGCAGGTCAGCCCTCAGACAGAGAGGGGCCAAAGGGTAGAGATGACTCCATAAAAAAGAATCGAAAACCCTCTGGTGTGAGGCAGGAGAAAAGTACCCTTTCTGTTCTTCCGGAGAGGACTCTGCCCTGGATGTTTGCCCAGGGAACAGAAGGGGAGATCTGGCCCGTGCAGTCTCTAAAGATACCTTTTGAACGGTGGCTCCGATGTGATTTAATTATGTCATTAGTGAGCGAGGGGATGCGGGGGGGGGGGGTGTTGCAGATGGACGGAAGGGGAACTGGATTCACAAGACAGGGCAGCCGTGGGGACTGGCGACAGGGGAATTTACACATTGATGCAGGGTGTGCTCTGTCCTCTGGACAGTGATCGATGAGTTTCTCGCGAGGACACCAGCAGCGTGTGTGTGTGTGTGTGTGTGTGTGTGTGTGTGTGTGTGTGTGCGCGTGCGCGCGCGTGCGTGTGTGAATCTTCAGGGTTTCAGTTGGCTGCAGTTTACAGAGGTGTAAAACGATGGGAGTATGTTCCAGAAGTGTGGACTCCGTCTTTAATTCCCCCCCCCCCCCCGTGGAACGGGGTTTCTCTGTGTGTCTCTGGTGCACTCAGTCTTCTGAGAGCGTCTGTCCACACCAAGGAATGTTTTTGTCCATTCCAAAGCTTCCATGGTTTCCCCTACCCAGTGTTCATCCATCCTTGATGGATGCAGGGGGATGGGCACTGTCTGTGAGATAGTTGCTGACTTGTTGACAGTAAAGTCAGTCAACAATGCCCAGCCTTCTCAACCTTGTAAAGACTAGAGTCTGCAGGAGGAGTGGGGGGGACACAGATGGTGTGAATGCCCTGACTTTGAGTGACAGGCAGGGAGGGAGGGAGGGGGGACCAGGGGATGGAACGGCAACCTCAGAACTGGGCATTTGCCTGTGCTCACACATTGGCCTCACTCGAAGTCTTTGCTGGGGACATGTCAGCATCAAGCTTGGAGCTCATTAGAAGGGAGAGCCTCATCAAAAATGGGTGTCGCCCACACGGCTCCTTCTGGCGGCAGTCCTCCAAAGAGCAATAGGGTGTTCATAAACTGATCTAGAAAAAGGCTTCCCTTCTCCCTGCTGTGTCTATGTGGGGTGAGGGCGCCTGGCTGGTGGGAGCCGGCGTTCTGTAAATGTCGCTCTTATTGGTTAACAAATAAAGCCCCGTTGGCCAATAGGAAAGCAAGATAGGCGGGACTATGAGGGAAGGAGGATTCTGGGAGTAGTAGAGAGAAGTCAAGATGTAGGATGTGAGAGAAGAGGTCAGGACCCTCTCTCAGGTAAGATAAGACCACGTGGAAACACTTAAATTGATAGAAATGAGTTAATAGCTAAGACAGAGCTAGCCAATAAGAAGCCCTATCCATTGCCAACAGATTTGCAACTTGAGAGAGACAGACAGACAGAAAGAGAGAGAGAGAGAGAGAGAGAGAGAGAGAGAGAAGCCTTTAATTCCAGCACTCAGGAGGCAGAGGCAAACAGATCTCTGTGATTTCAACGCCAGCCTGGTCCCAGAGCCACATCAGCCCCAGAAAACAAACAGAGACTCTGTATTAATTATGAAACTGTTGGCCAGTTACTAGCATTTCTTATTGACTAGCTCTGTCTTAAAGATTAACCCATTTCTATCAATCTAAGTGTTTCCATGTGGTCTTGGCTTACCGGGAATGCTGGACCTGCATCTCCTTTGCCAGCTACATCTCTGCAGAGAAGAGAGTGATTTCCTGTTTGCCCCTGCTTACAGTCTGATTCTGCCCAGCTACGTCATTTCCTGCCTGTCTGTACAGACCTCCAGACCTCTATGGTTAGCTCTTGGCAGTGTCTGCCATATGCTACGTCACTTCCTGCCTGGCCAGTCAGTGTTAATTTACTCATCAACCAATAAGACAAACATATACAGAAGAGTGTTCCCCGTCACCGGCCGGCTGTGAGGGACTGAGAATGACGCATAGTCCGTCAGTTCAACGGACAACCACCTAGTCGGCCGTGGACAGATAACCGCGGGTTTCCGTGTCTACGTTGGACAACATGTAAAATAGTGGGACAAAGATGAATAGATTCTACATAGCAACACTAAGATTTGTACTGTGGGCCACATTCTCATTTGTCTATAGTATTTAGCTTATGGTAAACCTATTTGTCAATATCAGTGTAGTAAGACATTATTTGTCATCCACAGATTTATTATTTCTCCGCTTGCTTGCTTTTCAGTGTCAGGACTTGAACTCAGGGCCTTGTCCACGGTAAGCAAGTGCTGTCTTGCGGAGGCCACACCCACCTCAGTGCTACCTTAACACTTAACAGCCGCCTCCGAGACTTGGACTTACCGAAACTGTCTCTGTGGCTCAAGGTCATGGCTTTGCTCACGGCAGTGAGAAGGAAATTCCATCTTAGCTGGAAGCTGGCAGCCAACTTGACAAACTCCTCTCTGCTTTTGCTGGGCTGTGTATGATTTTTTTGTGCATGGGGGGAAAAAAAAAGTCATTGTTTATGATAAAATTAAAAAACAAACAACACACCATCAACAAACCCCATGTTTCCAAATGCACAGATTTGTCACGAGCAGACACTTTAGGAGGAGGAGGAGGAGGGCAAAGAGGGAGATGAGAGGCGGCTGAGTAAGAAAACAGCCAGAGCGGGTGTGGGGGCTGCTGCCCTGTCTCTCTGCATTTTGTTTTGTCATGGCTGGTGTTGTCTCTTGGAGGAGCAGACTGGGGGAGAGGGAGGAGGGGGAGGAGGGGGAGGAGGGGGAGGAGAGGAGGGAGGGGATGCTGTGTTTCCATGAGGAAAGAGTCTATTTTTAATTAAAAACAGAGTAAGAGAGTAGCAGGGGGCCTATTTCTAGCCTTGTAAGAAGGACGCGGTGGCTGATTTTGCTGTTCGTCCTGACCCTTCAGCTGGACCCACAGATTCCGGCTGAGCCCTAAGATGAGGCTTAAAGTTGGGTTCGGAAGGCAGCCGTTGGTAGAGTGCTTAAGAGGCAACTCTTAAGCAAGGGGACCCGAGTCTGGTCCCCAGGACACACGGGAGGAAGAAGAGTCCCGCCAGCCCAGCCTACTGGCGGGTTCTTGGCCAGCGAAGGACCCTGTCAAAGGATTGCCAGGATGTGCACGGCCAGACAGCAGAAACAGAAGAGACCCTGGCTCAAACACATGGTAGGAGGACCAGACCTCTGACTCCTCCCACAGAGCTGACCCCCGACCTCCCCACACACACACAGGCTGCTGCTCACCTGCCACACCCCACCACCCTGCCACAAAACTCTTACAGTGTTTTCAGGGGAGCAGGGGTGTCGATGCGGGCAAATGTCTCAAGAACAAGAAGACGGACGGTGCCCACAGCAAGCCTGAAGCCCCCATCTGCCCCCTTTGCACTGAGTCATTTTTTTAGGAAGTCCTCTTTGTGACAAGACAAGACTCACCCTCTGCCCACAGGGCAGCAATCTTCTTATGACTGACGAAGCCCAGCCTCACTAACTCTGACCAAACCACAATTTGATTAAGGCTGGTTAATTATGCACACTTCTTAGCCATCTCACCCACATCCTTACCCCCAGTCCTTACCACACCCGGTTGCCACACCCAGTTCTGACCTTTCCCTGTATAACCTAGGAGTGCATGTTGGTAATCCAAAAATGGGGTTGAGGAGGCTGGTCCCATCTCTCTGTCTCTCTCTCTCTCCCGTGTGTGTGTGTGTGTGTGTGTGTGTGTGTGTGTGTGTGTGTGTGTGTGTGTAATGCCTGTGGAGGCCAGAAGGATTCATTGGAGCTGGAGTTGCTCCATGTGGGTGCTAGGGACTGAGTGTGAGTCCTCTGGAAGAGCATCTCTCCAGGCCCTACTTTTTCCATTTGTTTTGTGGGATGAGTTGCCAGACCTGACTTGTTAGGACCACTGTGAGTCAGGTCAGCAGTACAGGGCTATAGCAATACGCTTGCTTTATCTTCTGTGGAGATGGTTCTCGGGCCGAGGCCTTTGAGATAGGTGGAGAGGAGCCGGAGGAGGGAAGGGAATGGGGGGGGGGGCGGACTAGCCAAGGTCTCAAGCAGGGCTCTGGCTGCTAGGAGTGTGAATGTCTAGGTTGGGCCCAGCAGAACTCTGGCCATCCCATGACCTGGGTGGCTGGCACTAATCTGGCTGTCAATAGGATGCTGTAACTATAATGTTCTCAGCAGGTCACGTGTGAACTCCAACCATGGAACGCTGTGAATTTTAAGTGTTCTTAAACCCCTTCTAAACATCACTCAGATACAGCACACACACACACACACACACACACACACACACACACACACACACAGAGTGTGATATGCCACCTCCTCATTTTGTACCTGGTTAGAGATGAGAGGCCATGTCCCTATCCTAACGCCCACACTACCCTAACATACTTGTGATAGTCAGAGCCTCTTTCTCATGCCCTTAGGGCAGACAGAACTTCAAAGGGATTCTCCCTCATTGGAAACAAAGGATGGATTCTGAGTCTGAGCCTAGTTTACCATGTCTATGGCCATCAAGGCCAGAGTCATAGAGGTAAGTGGTGGGTACTTGAAGCTATAATTTAGCTAGAAGGATCAACACTCACACCTTTCCTGTAAAAAAAAAAAAAATCAGTTTCTTTTTTTTTTTTGTTTGTTTTGTTTTTTACCTGGAAGACGAGCACTTGGAGGTTTGAAGACACACAGTTGAGGAGGTCAGCAAGATCTGTCGAGGTTTCCAGCAAAGATATCAGACAGCCCAAGCCTGCAAGGAGACAGAGTGAAATAGAAATAAACAAAAGATTGCACGAAGCAGGTACTCATGTCCCAGCAACCATGCAGACAGAGCTGAAGAACAGTCCGGAGGGGATTCCCAGGACCTTGTACTCATCTTGAACACAAAGGACCCGTCTCTCTCTGGCTGCGAATGTCATTTCCCAGTTACAGTCACAATCCTATCTATGCCACTGGTTGCAATGGAAAGACATGTTTTGAGACAATAGCTCCACCTTGCAATTACACAGAGTCTGGCTTCAGATGAGCTCATCGCACGGTACAGACATGACCTCACCTATCCTTTGAGCCAGTTTATTAGTGTCACATAAATAATGGGGGCATCAAAGGCAGCGAGTGCCTTGCCCGGGGTTATGTACTCACACAGGTGGAACCCTGCCTGTGCGTGACATCAGGTCTGGGTGTCCAAGGTAGCATTGGTGGAGGGAGAACCCCCCTTCCTTCCTGGGGGAGGGGCAGCTGCCCGACCCTGGATTCTAGAAACACTGGACCTGCAGGTTCTAACAGTGGCTAGCAATGCACTGGCTGGATCCTGGGACCTCTTCCAGGGACACGTGGGGATGCTAGTAGGCACAACTGTGCCCTAGGCAGGCCAAGAGGAAGTTTGTAGGCTTCTGGGGCCCGTGTGCCTTGACTGGGGCTGGGGACAAGAACGATGTATGGATGCCCACCTGGGTTTCCCGGGGAAGCCAGTGCCCTTGGGGGGGGGGAGACCTTTAAAGCTCCTACTGTTGGGAACGGATGCACAGAGTGCTGAAGCTTGCTGGGCTAAGGGAATTGGGGCATTCCAGGGGCACCTGGATGGGGGACACCCAGGGCCTTAGAGGCAGGGGACTTAAGTGACAAAGGGGGCTGACAGACACTATTACCAAAAGTTACCAGTAACTTAATAACTAGCATGACCTTAGCAAGGTCGTCTCTACTTCACGGTCAAAGAAAAGATTAGTTTGTAGGTGGGTTACGTTACTTAATCCCGGTGTGTCCTTTGTGTCACAGAAACTAAGTGCTGCTATGTGGCAGTGGCACCCTGGGTGGCCCAACACGAAGAAGCCTGTGTCTTTGCGGGCGGCATCAGCCACGCTTGAGAAGGCTGGAGAGGGGGTTATGCCTTCAGAGGGAGAAGTTGCTAGATCTTCCCCGGGGCATTCTGGCTAGACATGGGGCCCGGCACCCCTTACCACCTTCTGGTAGCTATCAACCCTCCTCCTGGAAGGCCCTCCAATCACTCCGTCCTTGCGCCAGCCCCCACCCCACCCCCAAACTCAATGTGCCACCAGCAACTGAGCCTTCTTTACAGAAGAGATACTTCCCTTTCTTGGAAAATGATTACAACTATTGAATGGCGAGTGGGAGGAATCTGCAACTCTGTATCTGTCGTTTGTGGAGGGGGTGCCGTGGCGAGCAGCCGGACCCCGACACTGAGCAAAGTTAGAATTCTACGGGGCTAACAGCCGGTCAGCAGGACGTGGTAAGGCGCAGCCATGGCTAACTCCAGCGCTAACTCCATCCCATCACACAGGATGGAAGAGACGCTTGGATTTGTGAGTTTACAAGACGGATGTAGAAATGACCCCCCACCCCCAGTTCCCATGTGGAGGACATCTACAAAGCGCTGTCGGGCAGCAATATGAAGCCCTATCTCTCTGTGCACTCTCTTTCTCCAAACATGCACTGACACCCTGTCACCCTGCCTGACACTCAGGAGGGCCCTGGGAGCAGATGCCACAGGGGATTTCCTGGGTTGCCTGTCGCCCCCTACAGGAAGACACATGTGAGCACATCCAGCCAGGTAACTACTGCTCTGCTGTCCGGAGACCTCCCTAGTGATGGGCCATGCTCGCCCCCCAAAGGGAGACTGCCGTGAAGGAGGGTTACATTTCATCTCCGTGTGGCTCTCCAGATCCTCTTCATGGCCCGAGTCGCCTGCCAGGACCTTCTTCGAAATGTCCAAAGTGCCCTCGCTGATGATGGCACGCAGATCCGACTTCAGGAGGCCTACTCGCCGGTTGTTCTTCAAGACCATCTTCATTGTCTAAGGATACAGAGGGGGGATGGCGATGGGTTCATGCCATGTTACCTTGACCAATCCCCGTGGACACCACAGAGCTTCCTTCCTGTTGCCGTAGAAGAGAAGGACAAGCAGCTGTGGGTGCGTCCATTAACATCAAATCTCGGATGCCGCGAAATGTTCTGACCACGGGCATTCCAGCTCCAGAAGCCACACCTGCCAAACTTCCTCTCCCTCAGCACCGCCGCCCAGGCTCAAGTTACCCCAGAAAGGAAACTGGAGGGCAATTGATCCATATCTTACTATATTGTCCCTGATACTAAGCAGACGGCTGTGGGGTTTCGGATGCCCGCCTTCTCCCTCTCCCTTGTTCTGGGCACCAGACTCTGGGTCCCACACATGCCGAGGGGGTCACTCTGCCTCTGAGCTGAATTCCCAGCCCAGTCTCTGCTTTCCATTGAGAACCCTCAAACATGAATGTAACCTTTAAGAGCTGATTTACTGAGCTATCAGGTGGGGGCTACAGAAACCTTTGCAACTCATGACTTCATAGTATAGGCACTTGGTCAGCCTTCAACTTCACCAGTCTCCATTTCCCAGCCGTGGAAACAGCACTGAGCTGGTGAATAAATGTCCTTAAGGCGTCATCAGAGCAGAGATCAGGCTCAGAGCAGGGCTTACTTTAGAACCCAAACATGCCACTCGAATGGGTGAAATCAAGGGCATAATCGCTGCCAGACAGAACCATGAATGCATATGTGCTGTAGACTAGGGATGGTCTGAGGAGCAGCTCTCGGAGCCCAGGGAGGGCTTCCTGCTAAATGATGGATGGGATCCATCACAGAGGACCTGATAAGTTCCTCTCCAGCTCAGATGTACTTGGGGCAGAGTGCCCCAAGTCCTGATTGGCTACCTGAAGGATTCCAGGGTCATGTCCAGGGTGCTGGCCTTATACCACTATCCCTCGGTATCAACGTGGGGTCGGTTCCTAGTTGTGTACAGAGAGAGGCAAGGTGACTGGAACCTCAGTGTAAGGGACATGAGACCCAGGGTGGTGGGGGAGGGGCTCCCCAGCCAGTGGCCAGCAGGCTCCGCTATCTGTCCTCTGTCCTCTGCCTCTGAGTGGGATGAAAAGGCCTCCCTCCAGCAGGCAGTGACGGCCTGCTTTCAGGAAACATGTGGAGCTTCACCAGGTGCCTTGGGATGCCGAGCTGCAGCCTACCTTCGCCATGTTGGAAAGGTAAGTCTTTCTCCTGAGTCTTTTGACAAATCCAGTGACTTCTGTGGAGAACAACACGTGGGGCCGTTATTGGAACTGCAGGCTGCAGGGTAGGCGCCCATGGCTAAGCGGGAAAGCTGGGCTGCCTGAGTCTGGGCCCCTCCTCATCAGCCCTCTGCTGGGCCTTTCCCCAGTGGCTTGGGGATCCTGGTAGGGGCTGCATGCCTGCCCATGTGGCAGAGACTTGAACCATCCTAGCATCTGGACTGGGCTGCTAAGGAAGCATCGCTCCATCCACAGCAATGGTACTGAGGAGAGGTGCCTCTGCGAGCGAATTAGGTGAGAACGTGGAACTTTCCGAAGGTGCTGGTGCCTTTAGGGGATGAGAGCTCAGGTGGAGCCCTCACCCCTTTCCCCAGTGTGAGGGCGAAGCAGACAGACTGTCTCCGAACCAGAAAACAAGTCCTGACTAGACCGACTCCACCACTGCCCTCACGCTGGACTTTCAGCCTGTGAATCTCAGCCGCTTGTGACAGCCCAGGGCATGATGGATTAAAGAAATCAGAGCTACCTAGGATGGGCATCCCAAGGGGTCTGGACTTTTTACCCGGGATCTCTAAATACCTCAACTTCCTCATCTCTTTGGAAAAACTATTAAAGGAAAGGATGAGAAGGGGAAAGGTATGTGTGTGGGGGGAGGAGGGAGGTAGTTTCTTGCTCTTTTCCCTCTCCTCCTGAATGAACTCGGCTGTTGGTTTGATGGCTGGCTATGGAGGAGAACACACCCAGTCAGTGTTTGCTGGGTGTGGTCAGCCGGGAACCCCATCAGAAGCACTAACAGCCAGGCGGACTGGGCTCTGTACCCACTTGTTTGTGAAGGGCAAAGGGCAAAGTTCGGCCGGCCACTGGATGGGGCTGCCCTGGAGACAACGTTCAGTTTCTCATCTTGCAGAATCTGTGTTTTGTGTGGAATCCTACCTTTGAGTTTGGAGATCTGTAAGATGGCTGGGAAGCCTTCCAGAGCACTGAGGAGCCACAGTTTGAATCTCTTACTGAACAGCCGGACAGATTTCAGGTACTGGATACTAACATCCTCCAGGAAGTCTGGGAGGAGAGTATCTTCCAAACCCTGCAGAGAAAGAACCAAGTGGCATGATCCGGCCTGCTACTGCAGATATGGCTGCCGACTGACAACAGGGACCTGGCGGGTCATCGCAGGTCGGCCGGAGCTCACTCATGACCCATTGCAGTAACTGTTTCGTTTCATTTGTTTGTTTGTTTGTTTGTTTTTTACAGAACACCCTGCCACCCTGGTGTGCCAGAACTGGAATCTGGATTTTCAAATATTGATATCGGAGTCCTTTTATCCCCCTTTCTGATTCTGTGGTTGGATTGTGCATATCAGGTAAATGCTATACCACTGAGACCCACCCTGGCCCCCGATTCAACTAAAACAAACAAACAAACAAAAACCCAGAGCCAAACGAAGCCAGACAGCAGAGCAGTCACCACGCTGGCTAATATAATCCCAGGAGGGCCCACGTCTACGCGTTTAAGGACCGACTCGGCTCTTTTCACTCAACTTCGGTGGCGAAAAACTAGAAATGCCAGATCCCGACAAACCTAAAAGGTGAGATTTATGATGAGCAGGACTATTCTAACACAGGAAAAGTGCCTGTCTGGGCCTCAAAATCCACTGACAGCTCCAGAGATGGGCATTCCAGAGCAGGGCAAGCCTCACAGCGGCTCTTCCAGACTAACCTTCCACAGCTCTGTATTAAAGGACATCCATTCTTTCCTGAAATTCTATTCGCTTTTATTTTATGTGTACAAGTGTTTTCCTGAATGCATGTCTGTGCACTACATGTGTGCAGTGCCCAACGAGGCCAGAGAGGGCATCAGATGCCCCTAGGACTGGAGTTATAGAAGGTTGTGAGTCGCCATGTGGTTGCTGGGAATCAACCCTGGGTCCTTTGGAAGAGCAGCCAGTGCTCTTAACCTCTGAGTCATCTCTCCAACCCCACCCTAAAAATGCCTTTCTAAAAGACTGGGCTGGGAACACCTATAATCCCAGTACTCTAGAGACAGGCAGAGGATTGTGAGTTCAAAGATCCTATCTCCAAGAAACAAACAAACAAACAAAACAAACTAATAAAAAATAAAACTTCTATGGTTGATATGTCCAGAGATGGAAATTGACTAAATTCTGAATCATGAATCATTATTTTCTTTGTATAAGGAAATTCAAAAGAGCAAAAGGCTCTGGTCCATGTGTACTGGTGTGTGTGTGTGTGTGTGTGTGTGTGTATGTTAAGGGTTAAGGTTTGCTTTGGGGGCTGGTGTGTGTAGGGGGAGTGAAGGGGGTTGTCCTTCTGTGTATATGTTTCTCTTATTGGTTGATGAATAAAACACTGATTGGTCAGGCAGGAAGATAGGCAGGGCTAGGAGATGAGAAGAATTCTGGGAAATGTAGGCAGACAGAGTCATGGCCAACTGTTTTATGATTAATATAGTGTCTATGTGTTTATTTGGGGCCGATGAGGCTGTGGAACCAGATGGGAAGAAATATCTGTAACATGAGGGTGTGCTGGTCTGGGCTGATGTATGTGTTGGGGGTGCTGTTCTGGGCTGGTTTGTGTTGGGGTGTGCTGTTCTGGGCTGATGTATGTGTTGGGGTGTTTTGTTCTGGGCTCATATGCGTTAGGGTGTGCTGCTCTGGGCTGATGTATGTACTAGGGTGTGCTGTTCTGGCCTGATGTTTGTGTTGGGGTGCTGTTCTGGGCTGGTATGTGTTGGGGTGTTTTGTTCTGGGTTCATATGTGTTGGGGTGTGCTGTTCTGGGCTGGTATGTGTTGGGGGTGCTGTTCTGGGCTGGTATGTGTTGGGGGTGCTGTTCTGGGCTGGTATGTGTTGGGGTGTGCTGCTCTGGGCTGGTATGTTGGGGTGTGCTGTTCTGGGCTGATGTATATGTTGAGGTGTTTTGTTCTGGGCTCATATGCGTTAGGGTGTGCTGCTCTGGGCTGATGTATGTACTAGGGTGTGCTGTTCTGGCCTGATGTTTGTGTTGGGGTGCTGTTCTGGGCTGGTATGTGTTGGGGTGTTTTGTTCTGGGTTCATATGTGTTGGGGTGTGCTGTTCTGGGCTGGTATGTGTTGGGGTGTGCTGTTCTGGGCTGGTATGTGTTGGGGGTGCTGTTCTGGGCTGGTATGTGTTGGGGTGTGCTGCTCTGGGCTGGTATGTTGGGGTGTGCTGTTCTGGGCTGATGTATATGTTGAGGTGTTTTGTTCTGGGCTCATATGTGTTGGGGTGTGCTGCTCTGGGCTGATGTTTGTGTTGGGGGTGCTCTTCTAACCTGACCACCGGGCTTCTGTCTCTGGAGGGGATGCACAGGGGTCAAGGGTGTGCCCACCTTAAACAGCTGCATGTCATAGCATCCAAAGAGCTGGCGCACGTCAGGCAGCGACATAAGCATGACCGTGTCTTGCTGCAGAGACTTCCAGAAGGATGTTATTAAGTCCTCCACCTAATGCGACAGAGCACACCATCAGAGATCGAGGCTGTGCCTTGTGGGTCCCACCCCCACCCCGTCGGAGGCCCGGAAAGGCTGGCGTTGACTTCCCACCAGGACACATGAAGCGTTGCTACCAGCATCACCACCTGCGATTGCAGGCTACTCTATTTCATGTGCACTGTTGTTTGTCTGCCCGTGCTTCTGGGCAAGGGTATCAGATCCCCTGGAGCTGTGGCTACAGACAGTTGTGAGCTGCCAAGTGGTTGCTGGAAACTGCACCCTGGTCCCCTGGAAGAGCAGCCAGTGCTCTGACCACTGAGCCGTCTCTCCTGCAGGGGGCGGGAATGCTCTTTAGCAGGCCTGCCCTGCCTTGGTCCCATGCTAGGAAACCTATTTCCCTGAGGGCGGTTCCCAGATGGAAAGCTGTTTCTGGCCACCAGGGGGCTCCAGTTGATTATAAGACAACGATGCTTGGGCCACGGGGGGGGGGGAGGGCAATTAAGGGTTGAGAATAAAAGCCCACGGACTGCCTTGACCACTCCCTGACTGTGAAGTTATGGGAGCCTTCTCAGCGATGGACAACCCATTTCCATTTTCTTAAAAATGGCGGTCGTCAGCCAATGGGACACAGACAGTTCTAGAATAAATTCCACAACACCCATGCCAGATCTATCACCTGCCTCAAGTCCTGTTTCTTTTTTCTTTCTGTTTTTTCTTTGCTTTTTGTGTTTTTCTTCCCGGAGCCCAGGCCTTGGGCTTGCTAGGCAAGCGCTCTACCACTGAGCTAAATCCCCAACCCCTAAATCCTATTTTTAAAAAATTATTATTATTATTTTTGGCCATGACATGTGTTGACAAAATGGCTTGGGCAATACTGGGAAAGGGTTGCTATTACTACCCGTACTTTATTGAGCCGAAACTGATCTTTAAGCATCGTGATGCCCACATCAGAACCCTGTAGACTTTCCAAATGCCTGTGCTGAGACCAGACCACGTTCCAGACCTCACCAATGACCAGGCAGTTTCGTGACGAGCGGTCTGATACAGCAGAAAAGCTCTGGGTGTCCCTGGAGTGGTCGGGTCAAGTTCAGTGGTTGACGGCCCATCGTAAGTAAGTGCTTGTATTTTATAGGTAAAAGCCCACCTTCTCCAGCTCTTGGTTCCTCACATTCTGTAAAATGTCTCGGCAATAGTTGCAGTACTCGTCAGCAAGGAAGACCACCTAGGAAAGCACTGGACGTTAGCTCACCTGTCAGGCCACTTTACGAACAACTGTCCCGAGAGACCCCCGTGGTATCTGCTCTCTGAGGCCGTTCTTGTCACAGGTCTGATGTGACTGTAGCCGGGCTTTTCATCCATTTCCATGTTCTTTGTGTGCATGGAGTCAGCCTAACTTGCTGGCTGACAGCACATGGAATCTCAGTGTTGTTGTGGCAACTCATACATTGACAGGGTTGGCACTATCACTCTTGGGGGGGGGTAGTGTATTTGATGTGTATGTGTACATATATGTGTGTGTGAACATGCACATGTGTGTGTAAAGGTCAGAGGGTGATATCCAATGTCTTCTTGTATAATGTTCCACTTTTAATTTTTTAAAAAGAACTTTTATATTTATTCATGCATGTGGGAACATGCATGCCACAGCACATGTGTGAGGTCATATTCATGTGTGTGGGTGTATGTGGGTACATGCATGCCACAGCACATGTGTGAGCATATATTCATGTGTGTGGGTGTATGTGGGAATATGCATGTCACAGCACATGTGTGAGGTCATAGTCATGTGTGTGGTGTATGTGGGAACATGCATGCCACAGCACATGTGTGAGCACATATTCATGTGTGTGGGTGTATGTGGGAGCATGCACGCCACAGCACATGTGTGAGGGGAGGGCACTGGGTATCACTTTCGCCTCCCTCATTGAGGCAGGGGGCCACTGACCCCGGGCCGCTGACTGGCCAGGCTTGACCAGCTGGCTAGTGATCTCCCACCTTCCGCCTTCACAGCAATAGGATCTCAGACCTGTCCCTCTGTGCTGGCTTTTCAAGGCTGGTGGGGTCTGAGTTTGGCTCCTTGGGCTTGTGCAGCGGGCACCTTACTGACCCAACCATTTCTCCAAAGGCTACCAATTTTGACACCTTTCTTCCTAAACACTGCCCCCCTGCATTATCCCGCAGCTCTGGTTTCTAGGGAATCCAATTCCCTGGCTCCTTGTTCTGGCCCCTCCTTTCACACAGGAAGCCCTCACTTTAGAAGCCTCTCACCAGCTCTGAGGGGCAGGCCTCAATCCTCAGGCCCAGGAGGAATGCTGGTCCTCACAAGTCTGAGAGGAAGGAGGCGGCATCCCCCGGTGATGAGCACATCACGGGCAAAATAAGAGGGCACTGGTGTCAAACCCACACAGACTGCAAGGCTGATGTCCCTTAGGGCACAAACCTACCAGCTTACAGGAGTACTTGTTTGCCAGCTCCTGCTCCCAAAACGGACATCTTCTGAATGGAGACACGGGCGATCCCATCAGGCCCGCCTTAATTGGGGAGTGGTTTTCACACTACAAGTCATTCATACAATGATTATTTCTTTAAAATGAAATGAACCCTCTGGCACATAAACTAAGTCACAATCCCAGATATAAGTTACTCTCTCCACAGTCTTAGATGTGGCGCTGTTTCTGCAACTTCCCCTCATAACCCGTTACAGTGGTAATGATTCCTGCCACACTGTCAACTACATGGCCACAGAGGGAAGGCTTTTGGGATTTAATACCGTCCCAGTCAGGGAATCTAGCGCTGCGAAGAGGAACCATGGCCACTGGCAGCTCTTGCGAAGGAAAACATTTAGGTGAGGTGGCCGCTTACAGTTGGGAGGTTTAGTCCATTATTGTCATGGTGGGGCAGGCAGACAAGGTGCTGGAGAACTTTACAGCTTGAGCCGAAGGTGACAGGGCATAAACTGTAATACCAGGCATGGCTTGAGCATATAGGAGACCTCAAAGCCCGCCTCCAGAGTGACACACTTCCTCCAACAAAGCCACACCTCCTAATAGTGATTTTCTATCAAACCACCACAAATACATTACCCAAACTGACCATTCTTGGGGGTCTTGTGTTACAGTCAAGATATATATATATATATATATATATATATATATATATATATATGTCTGTCACTACGTATTTCTAGAACCAGCACAGGTAGAATTGTTGCTCCTTGAAATAAAGTGGAGTCCTGTCAGGTTTAATTGAGAGGAGTGGCAGCTGTACCGGGAATCCTGGGCTGACAGGAAAATGATGGTCATGGGCTTCACTTTTGAATTTCAGGCTAGAAGGGAGGGGGGGCAGGGTTGTGATAGAGAACACACAGGCCCTCCTCACACTGCTGACCGTCTGGCCGGGGGTGGTGCTGCTCCTGGCCAAAAGACACCAATTTTATTTAGAATGATTTCTTCAGGATTTTTAAAAAAGGTTTCTTTATAATCGAATGGGCTGGTGAGTTCCACTGTTTGGACTTCGAGGCAAAGCCAATCACAAGGAACTGAGACTTTTCATCTTTCTCCATCTTAAGGGTGTGCTCGGGGCTGGCCTTGGAACTCAGGCAGCTTCCCTGTCAGAGCTTCACACCCAACCCCTGGCTTCCTCAGTTCCTACATGTGCATGGCTGAACTCAGCTACTCTGAGGGTTTGGAGATGTTGTTGTCTACCAGGCTCCTGAGGGTCAGCAGCAGCTTCCAACTCCTGGGCACCCTTCCTCAAGGCAGAGAGGTGCGCTCAGCCACCATTCCACAATCACACACACACACACACACACACACACACACACACACTGGGAACCCCTGGGGATTTCCTCCTTTTTAATGACACCTCTTATTACTGCTGAGTATCACATGGAGGACTGCCCAATGGTCAGTGCTCCTGGACTCCTTTAAACATCTGGGAAAAGCAATGGGGACATCAGCATCTAGACATGCATGCCTCACACACACACTCACAACATACTTACACACACACACACACTCTCTCTCATATACACACAGCAGTAATGCAGAGTAGTGACATACATATACCTTCACACACACACACATTCACACACAGCATACTCACACACACTCACACTCACACACACACTCTCTCATACACTCACTCACACACGGCAGTAATGCACAGTGGTGACACTCACACTCACACACACACACACTCACAGAGTGATGTCTGCCGGCTCTGGGTAGCTTTTCATGGTGAAAACCCACTCAGACTGACCATCTGCTCCGGAGCCCAGACTGACCTGCTTATAGCTGCTCTCTGGCTGCTGCTACTGCTGTTCCCAAATTTGTCAAAGTGTGGTCCTGAAGCCACACCTCGGTAATAGGTGTCCCTGGGTGATTCAGAAGAGGACAGAAACCCAGCATCTCAACCACCTTTCTGGCAGGCACACTAAGAGTGAGAGCGGGTAGGTGTATGGGTGTGCACGCATGTGTGCTCCCATGTAGAGGCCAGAACAGGATGCCTGGCACCTTCCTCTATTGCTGCAGAACTGGGAGCCCGATGCTTTGTCTAGGCTTGCTGGCCACTGGGCCAACTGGATCCACCTGTCTCCGCTTCTTAATGCTGGGTTTATAGACATGTGCCTGGCTGTTTCTATGGATGCTTGGGATCCAATATCAGATCCTCATCAAGCACCCAGCCACCCCAGCCTCTCTCTCTCTCTCTCTCTCTCTCTCTCTCTCTCTCTCTCTCTCTCTCTCTCCAAGTCAACTGTAGCTGCCTATCCACAGACAGTGCTTCTCTACAAAGCCATGGGATGTTGTCTTTATAACTTCTGGGTTATATCCCATGCAGCCCTCAACAGTACTTGCTACAAAACAGGTGTTTAAAAATTATTCTTAGTGAGATTGTACCTGCTAGGGACAATGCTTCTGTCCCTCCAGATCCCCATGCTGATATTTTAATATTCAAACAGTGCTAGAATTTAGAAGTGGGACCTTGGGAGGCGATTAAACCACTAGGATGGGACACTCATGAACCATATCACTCACTAGTAAGAGGTCAGAGAAGGTCGTGCTACCCAAGGTCAGGAGGAGCAGCCTGCTGCTTGCAACTCAGCGCAGAGCCCTGGCCAGCACTACCCGAACCTATGAGAAACAGTGTATCAAACTGCTCAGAGAAACAGAATATCAAACAGTTCAGAGAAACAGTGTATCAAACTGTTCCGTTTAGAGTAATTTGCTTTAGCAAACAGAGCTAAGATACGATCAAAGTACTATCACGATGTCTTGGCCAACTAAAGCAAGGCTCACCTCAGTGTCACAGATGAGGTATTAATAGTTCTGATGTCCTGGTTCTAAGAGTTGAGAGAATACCACAGAGGCTCATTGCAGCAAATTTATCACCAACCACTGATGCACCCTTTAGAGTTATACCCCAAGAAACACAGCTCGGTAACTGTAGCTGAACAGTGTGGTCCTCCAGGACAGGGGCCAGGTCTGTCCTAGCTGAGTGTAATGCATGTTGGATGCTCAACAGCAAGAACAATCGGGTGGTGGATTAAGGATTGTCCAGAACACCACACATACACACACACACACACACACACACACACACACACACACACCAGTTACAACTCCCAGATACAGGTAGGTCTATTAAAACCCTTCTATTTTATTCCTTACTTACTGTTTCTTCCTGTTGGATAATATTGTTATAATCAGTAGCTTTTCCAAAGGCGGCATCACCACTGTGGAAGAACAGACAACAGAGAGACCACGTGACTAAGATTTCTTCTGTAGCAAGCAGCTTATTTGTTTAAGATATAACTCTTTATCAAAAAACCTGTCCTTCAAAATCCTATCCACATATGGAGATTGTCATGTGCTTGGGATTTTTCTTTTAATCTATTTCTATATCTGGGACAACCTTGCCTTTTAATTTAAAAACTTTTATTCCCTTCAGAAGCAAGGTTATGATACCATCAAGGTCACAACTTTATTCCTGTGGGGGAGGGGCAACCCACTGTGAAAAAGGGGATCTTTATTACCTTTTGGTTTGGGTGTTTTACATTAGCAACCCAGATGTGACAATGCTGCTAGGTGATGGAGGTCACAGAGCCGTGTCACCGAGTAAGGGGATTGGGGGTTAAGAGTAGACGCTAAGCTTTCATCTTGCAGTGCTCATCGGGCTGCTGTGCTTAAGGGACATACATGGGAGAGAACAGATCTAGTCCTGCTGAATGTCGTGGTATGTTCTCCCTTTAATTATGTGCATAAGTCAAAGTGGGGTGCAGGATCTCCCACTTACATCAGGAAATGTGCCTTCTCTGGGTGTTGGAGAGGAGAGTGCCTTTCTCCCCGTCTTCCCCAGGGCAGTGGCTGATGGCTGAGCTGAGGAGCAGCCATGGCTGGGGAGCTTCGTCCAACCCAGGTATCATCATCTGCTTTGCCTCAGAGCGCAGGGTCCTCTCCCCTCAAAGCCAGGAGCCATCATCAGGTGGGCACTGGGGAAATGGGTCATCCCTGTCCAGTCCTCCAAAGCCCTGGGTGCTTACTTCTAAAGGTTTGTGTTGTGGTGTCTGTCATTGTGTTCTCCTGTCCCAGTCGTGAACACCTGGGCGGAGTATTTGATATGTATGTGACGATGTTTCTACACAATGCTCTGTTCTATCCCCAAGTGCAGTAGACAGATTGAGAGCCTGGAGATGAGCCCTCCATGGAGGCACATCCTTCGTACTCTACCAAGAATTGTTACCAAAACTTAATTTTACTTTGGACATTCCAAATGGCTGATAGGATATAGGTCCTGTTCAACCCAGAGATATAAATGGAGGAACTCTGTACATAAGGTGGCTCACAAATGCCAGAAAATGGAGAATTTGGCGTATTTTAGGAATTCCATTTTGGCATGTATTGTGGACTGAGCTGTGTCTCCCCTCCCCCCTCATATATTGGAATCTTAACCTCTAATGTAGCTATATCTGGAGATAGAATCTCTCTTCCCTCTCTCTCTCTCTCTCTCTCTCTCTGTGTGTGTGTGTGTGTGTGTGTGTATGTGTGTGTGCAGTTACATTGTAATTTGTCTTTTTTTTTTAATAAGGGCTCACTCCCAGTTATGTGATTGCCTTGAGGTCTTAGAAAAGACTAAACTTTTGAACAGTTGAAACTATGAAGGTTACGGAGGCTGTTGAAGTTGGAATGAATACATGTTTGCACTGGGAGGCAGCCATGAGCCTATGGGGCCATGGGTGCTATGCTTCAGTATCAAGCTGAAGAGTATCCAGTTGTGAGGGTGAACTTGGGATTGTCAAATTGACTGACTTTAGGGACACCTGGGCCATTAAGAAGGCACACTTTTGGATGTATCTACGAACGAACGTGCTTCCAGAATCACTAACTGAAGAGGCGAGACCCAACCTGACCGTGGTGGCACCATCTCCTGGGACAGGGTCTTGGACTCAACAAAGAGAGGGAGGACAGAAAGCCAGCTGAGCATTCGGCAGTCCCCATTCTCTGCTTCCTGGCCAGCACCAAAGACGAGCAGCCCGCCACCTATGCCGTGCCTTTTTGTCAGCGAGGGAATGTGTTACCATGAACTATGAGCCAAAACAAAGCCTCACGATTGCTTTGCCATTTTACTGGGCCATTTTGTTAGCCACGGCCACAAGAAACACAACCAACACATACAGATTCTGTTAAAACAAAGAAACTAACAATACATGAACTATGAATTAATCCCTAGAATAAAACAAGACAGAAGGGCACATGAACCATCGCACTGGGCCCTAGGTTTTTTGTTGTTGTTGCTTTTTTTTTTTTTAAAGGAAGTAGGAGGAAATGCAATTTCTCTACAATTCTACATTGTGTCAACATAGAGGTCCTAGTATCTTTCCTATGTAAAAACAAATACAAGACCACAATCTAAATATTAGGTCCATCTATCCATCCAAACATCCTTCCTTCTAGTCACCTGCTAATCCATCCATTAATCAATTCATCTGTCTGTTCAATCATCCGTTCATGCACCTAATCACCATCCACACAGTAACTATCTGTTGATCTGTCTCTCATTCAGTCTTCACACACTTGTTAAATGTCCTCCGCATGACAGGCATTGTGCTGGCTTCGTGCCAGGCGATTGAGACGCGTTCTCTGGGAGCTAACCTACTGAGGAAGAAAATGAAACCTAAGGATGTTGAATGAGAACTGTGGCAGCTGACGTGTGGGCATCATGATGTGCGTCAGGATAGGCCTATGCTTCTCCTGTGAATTCAGTTCGTACGCTTGCCTACTAGCAGCCAGATGAGCTCACGTGCAACTAGTTAGCCTTATTTGGCTGAAACTTACACAAGACTCTTGGACAGCACCCGTTAAGCCCGTTTGATAGTGAGAGTGGGTATCACCAGTCTCTCCTTACGATATTCAGAATTAAGAGAGGAGCAGCTAGCAGATCTGGGTCAGACTGAAGGGAAGGATATGCCGGGATGGGTCACTCCCCTCTCCCTCCTCCTTCTCACACCGCTGACTCGCAGCCTTGGAGCAACTAACACTGCTCGGTATGGCTGAGTCATGCCCTCAAGTGTCTCCAGCTTTTACATGAAACCCCCAAATTCCTGCCGGGTGGTTGCTTGTGCGGAGACGGGTTTAACTCAAGGGTATCTGGGAGGAGGGTGCCCTGCAAGATCAAGGGGACTTCCAAAGAGAATAAGACCCTTGTGTGGTGGCACTCCCCAATGTGGGAGCCCTGTTGTTAATCTTTATTGTTAGTGAGGGGATCTTGTGCATTGGAATACCAACAGTGAGAAGGAGAAAATGTTTCGGCCTCATACAAAAAAGGGGCCATCCACAACAAAATCCATCTAGTTGCAGAAACAGCGGGGTAGTCTCTGCACTGTCTGGGACGCCCAATCAAGCTCAATATGGGGAGCGATAAATGGGTTCAGTGGGCTCGAACCAGTTTTTTTTTTTCTTCAAAACTACTTCCTTTTAGAGCAGCGTTTTTCAACTTTCCTACGCTGCAACCCTTGAATACAGTCTCTCACGTTGTGGTGACCCCCGACAATGAAATTATTTTCGTTGCTACTTCATAACTGTTATTTTGCTATGGTTATGAATCGTCACAATAAATATCTGTGTTTCCTGATGGTCTTACGTGACCTCTGCAAAAGAGTCATTTGACTCTCCCCCTCCTCCCATGGGGGTCATAACCCACAGGTTGAGAACCTCCGTTTTAGAGCCTAGGGCAAGTAAAGATACTACGCAGAAGAAATACACGGCGACAGCGGCTAAAATAGGATTAAGGCATGTGCCAGGCACGCAAGGGCTGAGATGATCTCTATACGTGTACTGTCAATCAAAGTGGAGGGGGAGGTGGTTAACAGAGGGTAATGAGGGGGTAAATGTGATCAAAACACGTTATGTCCATGTGCGGAAACGTCATAACAAAAACCATCATTTTTTTTAAATGAGTATATGCTGATTAGAAAAAATCAGCGTGGGTTAGGATATGAACTGGAGGCAGTGGCCTGGTGTGGGACTTGGAGGTCTCGGTCACAGGTGCTGGTGCAGCGAGGACCTGGTGGGTTGGACCCAGACGGACCTGCAGAGGTTTGCTGTGCTTGGACCTGGGAAACTGGGCTAGGAAGAGAGACTGTGGTAAACCTGAGTCCCACTTCTACTGGAGTCTGCAGGAGCAGCCACAGTGACAATAAGATCAGAGAGGGTTGGTCCAGGGTGCCAGCCACAGGGGCTATGTGCTTTGGGGACTTACTTGCCCCTGCGTCATTTCCCGGGGCGGTTCTGATTCAGACCATGGGGACGTTTATTGGGCTCTGAGCCAAAGCAGAGTCACTGCTAAACTATGACCCTAGTGCGGCCACACACATTAGTCAGAGCTGGCCTTGCTGAGAAGGCAGGGATCTGGGTACCCGCTGGGTATCTGATTCCTTAGCTGTTTCACCACAGCCCAACCAAGAGCAGGCCAACGATACAGGGGTGGCCCTGGGTTAGTCTGTCCTTGTGGGCCTTCAGCTGCTATATCCTAATCTAGGCTATTAGGATTTAATAAACACTGGGCAAGAACAAGCCTGTGACACAGGGGTGGCCCTGGGTTAGTCTGTCCCATGCAGGCATGTGGTCCTAGTGGGCTGGCCCTTTAGCTGCTACATCCTAACCTAGGCTATAAGGATTTAATAAACAATGAGCAAGGGCAGCTACACCAGGGAGAGACAGGAGACCAGGGAGAGAGGGAGGGAGGGAGGGAGGGAGGGAGGGAGGGAGGAGGTAGCGCCCTGCTGTAGTCCATGATGGCTACATTTCTTTCAGCTAGACTCTTGGGCCCTGGGGGTCCTGGACATGAAGGGCATAGAGTCAGATGACTCTAAGTCCTATTTAAAGCCCAGAGCCTCTAAATATTTGGTAATATGTGAACTCAGATTTCCTTTCCAGGCCCCCCTACAGTTAGATTATGTCTAGCTCCCCATAGAGAAAACCCAGGGAATCCTTGTTTCTTTGGGGGGGGGGGACCAGCAAATGCCCACATGCTCCATGTAGAATGAAAATCGTATTGCATTAATCAGTTTTCACAGCCATTTGGCATTGAGGAGACCAAGACATACCTCTAGGTCACAGGGTTAACCTTAAATAAATAGATAAATAAACGAATATCCCCACAAGTGTTTCCAAGTGCGGTGTTAGCTCTGACTCTGGTCTGCCTCCACATTCCCAGGCTTTGACATCACTGTCATTA